AAAGACAGCAAGAGACCAACCTTAATACTGCCCCCAAAGCCACAAGGGAGGGAATGAAAAGGGACTGGGAGCACTGGAATGAGCTGTCACAAGCCTGTGCAGGAAACCCAAAGCCTCAGTGGGAGACCAGGGGGCTCACCTAACAGGCGGAGCCAAACAAGACTGATGAGCAGGTCTGGTGGCCCCGGAACAAGGCAAGAGCTGACGGTAGAAGGGAGGTGGGCTGGAAATGCGGGGACAGCTTGGACCGCAGAGTCCAAAAGAGCCAGCGTCCACTGCCTCCCTAAGCCTCGTAACCAAGTAACTTCGTGGGTAAGGGAATTGTTAAGAGGCAAGCAGAAGAGTTAGCGTTTCAGACAGATGTGTGAACTTCCTTCTCGTTCTCCCAACTGTGGTTTTTCCTGCCCTCAAAAGAAGCAGGAAAGGAACAACTGTATGCCACAGTCCTCGAGAAGGTACAAAGTAAAAGTACCTGGAGCCACATGTGTGATTAACCACACATCCCATTTGGCCCTGCCTGCCAAGAAGCATGGATCCAAATTTCATAGTCAGTCGTACCAACCACATTAACCCATACAGCTCACAACTGTGCTTTTCTTTTTTCTTTATCCTCATTCTGCAGTTCTGCTTATACTGTTGAGATGTCTTGCTTTAGAATGAGGCAGAGAATAAGCAAATACATGGAAGTAGGAAGGGTTCTGAATTATTAAACCTGGTCCCTTTGCCATGACAATGGAGCCTTCCAGAACTTTCCTCCATACAGCCAGTTACTGGCACATCCATTAAGAGTTGCTGCTTTAATGTCAGGACAAATACATAAATTTAAACACCATGTCCTTTATACACGTAGGTAATGCTAACTAGGGGCTTACCCGCAGCAGCTTTTCCTTGTAAACAGGCAATTAGATAAGTCGGAAATAGAAAAGACACATCACCACATAAAAGCAGGTCGCAATAAAAATTAGATAGGAAACAAAATTGTTGCCATTCCAGCAACTAATGAAAGTATGTTACAGTAAACAAACCTCTGGTGGTGCTATAACTTCTCTCAGGAATCAGGAAACACCCTGAAGGCCCAAACTCTGATGGGGGGTGGGGGTGCATTTTACTTTGAAGTCAAAGAGCAAGAGGAGCTGGTTTTTATAGGATGAAAATGATGACACCAGTGCCCGCTTATTCTAAAAGACAAAACTGATCTTTCGGGGCTGTTTACTGTCTTCTGCCCTTCTCTGTCGCCAGAGAGTCTTTTTCAAGTTTCCTGTTCACTTCCAGGCCTGTTGTTTCCAAAACCAATGATTACAAATGAGAGGTGTGGTCTCAGATGAAAAATACAATTATAGGTCTCTATGCTGTCCTGAGGAGAACCCAGCGGGGAGGCCAATGGCAAAACAGTGCTTTGCTACAGAAGGCTTTGTATACATTACTGTAACAAGCGAGTTTCTGATCCAAATTCTCTGCTGGCCTGTAAAATTGTTTCTCTAACTTAAGCGCAATTGTTTCCCCAAATCTTGTCAACCTGCTGTGGTTATTACTTCCAGGTGTAGGATCTGTCACCTCCTCCACACAGGAAAAGCAGCAGCCTCTCCTCAGCTGAAGAACCTTAAGACTCCTGGGAGGTAGGAATTTAGCAAAATGTTAGAGAACGGTTCATTTACAATAGATCTTACTGCTGATCCTGCACCAATAACAAGCTGGGGGAAAGAGGGTTGATTTAGTAATTCCCTCCCATTTAAGGAGGACATGGTGAAAAACAACTACCTTGGTCACCAGAGTCAAAGTCAATTATACCTGGGAGGCAATATGGCATTCTTTTTGCTAATTTGTAAGCAATTACCTCATTTCATTTTGAAAAATATTTGCCTTTAATACTCAGTAGAGGCATACAGAAAGGCTACCTCCCACTATCACCCCCAAAACAGATCAGCTGTGATTTTTAGCACAGACCATGTAATAGCATATCTACAAAAACCAAGTTATCCACTGAGAACAATGGAAAAAAAAGGAGGCGACTTTAGGTTGGAAGACGAAGCAATCTTGGTTTTAAAAAAAAAAGTGAATACAGTCAAGATAAACTGTATTGGCTAATTTAGAATACTAGCAGGTTGAATTATTGTCTTTTAAACAGCTTTACTGGGGCGCCTGGGTGGCTCAGTCAGTTAAGCGTCTGCCTTCAGCTCAGGTCATGATCCCAGGGTCGAGCCCCACATCAGGCTCCCTGCTCAGCGGGAAGCCTGCTTCTCCATCTCCCACTGCTCCCCTCCTTGTACTCTCTTGCTCTGTCAAATAAATAAATAAAATCTTTTTAAAAAACTAAAAAAAAGCTTCACTGAGATAAAATTCACATACCATAAAATCCACCCATTTAAAATGCAATCCAGTGGTTTTTAATATATTCACATTTATCAATGGTGTTTAGCATATTCATATTCAATGGGGGGACCATCACCACAAATTAATTTTAGAATATTTCTGTCCGTCCCAAAGAAACCTTATATTCATTAGCAGTCAATCCCCACTTCTCTCTTCTGCCCTTTAGCCCTAAGCAACAGCTAACTCACTTTCTATCTCTATAAATCTGTCTTTTCTGGACATTTCATACAAATGGATTCGTATAATATGTGGCCTTTTGTTTTCTGCCTTCTTTGTCTTCTGTCACTTAGCATCATGTCTTCGAGGTTCCTCCAGGGAGCAGCATGCGTCAGTATTTCATTCCTTCTTATTGCTGCGTAATATTTCACTGTGTGGACAGACCACACTTTATTTACCCATTCATCAGTAGATGGACATTCGGGTCTTTTCCACTTTTTAACGAATATGAGTAACACTGCCATGAGCATCCATGGACAAGTTTTTGTGTGGCCATACGTTATCACTTCTCTTGGGTATACAGTTAGGAAAGTGGAATTGCTGGGTCACGTAGTTCAAATGATTTTAAAAACTGCATGGCTGCACAGTCATTCATGAAGAAGGTGAGAGAGATTTAATATTTCTCCACCCCCATCTTACCATCCATAAACAATCTCTCTTTGCTTCTCTTCTCATTCTCTCGTGGCCCAACTGCTCGTGTTATCCTCTACACTCTCTATACATAAAATAGCCCAAGGCCTACTATAGGAGAGCAGCTCAGAGCCAGATGGAATTTCCAAAGATCACATATCCCAACGTCTTGTTTTCAAACAGGATTGAACTACAACCATCTAATACTTAGAAAGTCCCCAAAGAAAGAATGCAACTGCCCTCAGGTGCCCACTCTCGGAAATATCTTCAAATCACTTAACCCCAAATCATACCTATACTATACGAATACTGAAGAAAGAAGAAAAATGTTTAGGGATTTTAAGCAAATTTTAGAGACTATCCCCTCTAGGCCCTATCTCTTTACTCCCTCATGGAACATACCATGTCCCCGGATGCCGGCTAGTTTGATGTATCCTCCGGACTGCGTGAACGTTTTAATCTAACACCGAAATGCAAGCGTGGGAGAACTCAGCGGCCATTCCTAGAGGTATTTTTCTTTTGCTTCCGATAGTCTCATTTGAATCTATTGTCACAGTCAACAACAGTAACGCACAATTTAACAGCCAGAATCTCTACTGTTGCTGCTTCTGTAACAGCTCGAACTTTTCTTTCCCTTCTTAGTTCCTCTGAGAGAGCACATATAAAATGAGTAACTATTGCTGCTAAAGAATTGCTGGAGTCAGCAACGCTTCATAGGAACTGCATTTCCTCCTCCTCCTTTCCCTCCCACCACAAAGTCTCCCCCATACTTTAAGAATTAAAGACACGTTACCAGGATAAAGAAATCTGCCCTGAAAGAGGCACTGCTGCAACCATGGCAAGCAACCAAAAGTATTAACAATAATTTCCAATGGAGCTGAAAAGTTTAGATGATTTGTCTTTGAAACGAGCCAACTCTGCACACTTTCACGAGATTAAAATCAGTTTGCTTTTCCTTCTGGACACCTCACCTCTCCTATTCCTACTCCCCCCAAAAGGCAGAGTGGTTAAGGCATATAAACAAACAGTTCTGGAAATTAACTTCCCTGACCAGAAGAAAACTCAAAGATAAATTCCATTTGGCATTTTAGTTTCCCTACACTTCGCTGTTATCAGGATTTATTGTGGTTTCTCTCTCCCTGGAGAGGGAATACCTGATTGATAACATTTCTGAGACACAGAAGCTTAAAAATAGAAAGAATGACAACCGCGTGTTATCTTAAAAGAAGTATGATGACCGTTACCCACAATCTAGGTCATTTCTGAGCCACAGGAAAGAGAAGGCCATTTTTCTCTTACGGTGATGACCTTGTGAAAGTGAGTTATTTCTGCACCTGTCTGTCACCTATAAAATGAGGATCATCACAGGACTTTGTGGGGTAAGTGTATGAATGCTTCAGACAGTGCTGAGGACAGGTGAAATACTAAAAGGCACTATGAGCTTGGCTCATCACCATCACCACCACCTAGACCATCGCTATCTTCGAGAAGCTGCCCGGATGGCATAAGGAGCTAACCTCCAGGGCTCTTCCAGCAAGTACAAAGTGCTGCCCTCTTCCCTGGAATGTTTCCCATTTCCATTGACTCATCCTGCAGGAGCAACAGGTTCATAAGACAACGCAAAGAAAGAAGAAAGACAGGTCACAGGAGAGGATGAGAAAGATCTTTTACAATTACAGAAAAACGTCACCTATTTTGTTATATCACAGCCATGTTTCAAAGATGAAATCCTTAAGAACATTCTTTCCAATATGGGAAGTCAGGAAAGTTATGAAGCTGAAAAATCTCTCTAGAAAGAAATCCTAGAGTTGCCTGGTCCAGAGAGCAATCTGTTATTTGAAATCCTTTTCTTGAGTATATATTGTGTCCCCCTCCCCACTTACATAACATGAGCATCCTTGTTAAACTCAGGATGGGGGGGAAAAAAAAAGGCCTCTTTGTTCAGAGAAGTGTCTTTACAAGCTCAGAGGGGCAGTAAGTGGAAAGCTGGCACCTGTGCCTACCTCTTTCTGGGGCTGGCCGAGCCCCGGCTCAGCAGCACGGAGGTTCAGGACGTGCACCTCCTGCGGCAGCCCTGTTGTGCCTCTGCTGGCACACCCCGACAAGACGGTGAAGCTCTCCATTAAGGCCTGCACCGGATGGGAGGCATTGACGGGTGACAACTCACACTGGGTACTGGGCTCCGGACCTGCAGAGGGAATCACAAACATAAACTCCTCAAAAACAGCAATGAATTATGCTATAGTTAAATTAATTATCCTAGATGATCAAGCCACTGCCAATCCACCAGAGGAACCTCTCCAGGTAAGTTGTTTCCAGAACTCAATGGCCAAAAAGCTTAGCCTATTCTAAAACCCCAATCTCTAAATTCCTTTTAGATGATTTTGATATGTATTTAATTATTTAAATTCCCTTTTAGACACAAATCCACAAATGTATTCCTCTGGATGGAGGAAACCTCCCGTTTGACATCTGTGTTCAATTCTTCCATCCTCTCTTAGAAGAAAACCAGAAATAAATGGAATAAATTGCCTAAAGCCCAATCATAGTATGCATAAATAATATTTAACAATTAAAATTGCACCAAAAAAGTATAAGATACAGTCCCTAACCTTTAAGCACACACCCCCCCTTCTTAGAGAGAGCAAAACAAACTTAAGAACAATACAAAACAAGATATAACAAGCAGGGGCAATTGGGGCCAGAGTTGTATAGCAAAGTTGGGGCCAGAGATCAGAAAAAAATCCTCCCAAGAAAGGGAGAAGCATATGAGTAGAGCCTCAAATAGCAAAAGTAGAACGATGATCACTCTTGGCTCCTGCTTCCTCATTCTGCCTTTCTCTAATAATCAGAACTTAAATCCTAACATCCATTCCTGCCCATCTCTGTCTCCTGTGGTCCTCATCGCCTCTATCTCTAGACAACTGCAGATATTCCTAAAAGGAGACTCTGGTGTCCAGCACTCCAAACCACCTTCCAAGCAAGCACCGTCCACCTCACCCAGGGTGCTCAATGGGATGATCACTCCCAATGCAAACGCCTGCCCCTCCCATCTCTGCTGGCATGTCCTGTGCCTTAAGGACTGCTGGCCTGTGAATAGAGCTCAAGCTCCCTAACCAGGCACACAAGGTCTTTCTTGACCAGCCCCTTCCTCTGTCTCCAGCCTCATCCCACCCCACTCCAGCAACCCCAACTGCCTTCTCCAAAGATACCATGATGTGTCTTAACTCCACGTCTTTATTCAAGCTTGTTTCCTTTACCCAAATTCCTCTTCCACTCTAACTCTGCCCCACAACAAACACCCCAAGACAAGAGAGGTACTCTTCCTCCATCCTCACATAATTTCTCCACCCATCTCTGCAATTTCTACACTGTAACCACCAGTGTATGTACATCTGTCTCTGCTAGTCCAGTGTGACCTCCCGGGCAGTGGGTTACTCATCTTTGTATCCTCAGCACCCATCACAGCAACTGGCATGTACGAGATGCCCAAAAAATATTTGTGAAATGAATCACTGAGCTTTAAAATAAATTGTTCCCTACCTGATTGGTGATTAGGGCACCATTCTGGGGACTTGGATTTGGCTATAGGGAGCGAATAGGGGAAACAGATTGCTACAATGATAGGAGGCACAACCCCACTTGGGCCTCATTGCACACTGGCTGGATAGATAGAGAGGGACATCCAAGAAGAAGGAGGAACCGCGATACGCCTCTGCAAGTTTGGTGTTGTCTCCATTTGATACCCAGGGAGACTGGGACTTGAACATACAGCATCCTCTAAACCACAGCCTTCCAAGTGGAACCCAATGAAAGACCTGAACGCACTCCAGTTAGTTCTTCCTGACTTCTACATATTAAAAGTACTCTCTAGGACCATAGCCCCAGGGTAAAATGCAAATGCAGTTCAGAACCAGGCAATCCTGCACCCCCACTGCTAGACTATAAGCAGACACCCTGCCTGGTGTGCCAAGTCTATTTCAGAACTCACGGAAATTATCGAGGATGATAAAAGTTATCTGGTCTGAAACGAAGTATGTACCTTCTCAAATATTCACTGTGCTGCTGAACTGTGCCCAGCTGCTTTCTGAGAAACAGAGGTGGTGAAGGAAGATGTCACAGTGGCCGAAGGCAGGAGGTACCGGACATCTGATTCCTGAAGTCCCCGGGTACAGCAAACGGGATGCGCAGGTGCTCCCCCTACTGTTTCCCCTCTGGCCCTCCCCACCTGCAGTGGGACGCCTGCTCTATTTCATACCCCACAGCTCCGGAGTCTCCTACTCCTACTCAACTGTGGGGACACACTCAACTCTGGGGAACTGGTTTCACACCTTCCTGCCACAAATTTGCCATTATCACAAATCAAGCACAAATAAAAACGCTTTTCAGGGTGGGGGGATGGGTGAAGTAGGTGATGGGGATTAAGGAGTGTACCTGTCATGAGCGCCTGGTGATGCATGGAAGGGCTGAATCACGATACTGTACACCTGAAACGAATACTACAGTGCATGTTACCTAACTGGAATTTAAATAAAAACCTAAAAAGGGGCACCTGGCTGGCTCAGTCAGTAGAGCATCTGACTCTTGATCTTGGGGTCGTGAGTTTAGTTGTTTTTTTTTTTTTTAAGATTTTTATTTATTTATTGAGAGAGAGAGCAAGCACAAGAGAGAGCATGAGTGGGAGGAGGGGTGGAGAGAGAAGGAGAAACAGATTCCCTGCTGAGGATCCTGGGATCATGACCTGAGCCAAAGGCAGACAATTAACTGACTAAACCACCCAGTCACCCCTGGGGTTATGAGTTTGAGCCCCACGCTGGGTGTAGAGATTACAGAAAAAATTTAAAAAAAAAAAATTTTCACCTCCATTTTTGTATGCATGTGCAAAGCTCCAACTGGCCTATGGTTCCACCCAGAACACATCTGCAATCTGCTTGACTTGCCCTCCTCCTTGCAACACCACCATTACCCATCAGGATCTTTCTTAAATCACCACACTGCTCATTTCCACACTGGGGTTAGAGCAAAAACTCACTGGCAACAAATCAGAGGATAAGGTATTTCCCAAAGTGGGAGGGAACCAGAGAGGGGACACCCGCAGCACTGAGGACTAGCAATCCTCACCTTAGAACCTATGGTTTCTGTCCTGCCAGAGTCCAGGGCAAGGCAAATCCCACTTAATGGGCTACAGTTCCAGCCATGTGTTATACGAATCAGCCCAAGGTCAAAGAAAAAAGAAAGCAATGCACAGGGCACACTCTGATCAAGTGACTGGATAACTGCACTTTACAGAGACCCATTGGGGTCAATGTTTAAACACACTCCATATAGAGTATCTCTGACCATCAGACACACCAGAGTAGTAGTTAGTTTTTTAGATTCCTTAGTGAATTTTTTGCCACCAAGTTAAAAAAAAAAGCTACAAAATAGGATTAAGCTATCCTTAAAACCAAGAAAGCAAGAAAGAAAAGAGGGGTGCCTGGGTGGTTCAGTCGTTAAGCGTCTGCCTTGGCTCAGGTCATGATCCCAGGGTCCTGGGATTGAGCCCCGCATCAGGCTCCCTGCTCATTTGGAAGCCAGCTTCTCCCTCTCCCACCACCCCCCCTCCACCTTGTATCTCTCTCTCGCTGTGTCTCTGTCAAATAAATAAATAAAATCTTTAAAAAAAAGAAAAGAAATTAGGAATTATCCACCCTTATCCTCCAAAGGTATGCAAGAAATGGTGCCTTCAACAATTCAACATACAATGTCACTCTGGTGTAGTAAAAAATTAAAACAAATTGCTCCTATTTATTAAGTGCTCACTATAGGCTAGGCAGTGCTAGGTCTATACAACCTTGGACACCATTATAAGGAAGTGGTATTATCCCTATTTTAAAGAAAAGGAAAATAAGTTCAAGGCACTTAAGTAAGTGCTTTAAGGTTGCCCAGTCACCCAAGGACTGAGACTGACACCTACCTCTGGGGTTCACATCTCTCTATGGTGAAATTTTCATAAAAACATATTGGACATTTAAGGAAGAAATTATACCAACTCTCTACAATCTCTCTCAGAAAACAGAAGCAGAGGGAATACCTCCTAACTCATTGTATGAGGTCAGCATTACCCTAACACCAAAACCAGACAAAGATATTGCAAGAAAACTATAGACCAATATCTCTCATGAACACAGATGCAAAAATCCTCAACAAAATAATAGCAAATTGAATCCAACAATGTAAAAAAGAACTATATACTGCAACCAAGTAGATTTATCCCAGATACATAACATCTGAAAATCAATTGATGTAATCCATCTCAACTGGCTGAAGAATAAAAATCAGAAGAAAAAAGTCACATGATCATAACAACAGATGCAGAAAAAGCGTTTGACAAAATCTAACAGTCATTCTTGATAAAAACTCTGAGCAAACTAAAAATAGATAGGAACTTCCTCAACTGGATAAAGAGCATGTAAAAAAAAAAAAAAGCCAACAACAACCCTACAGCTAACATCAGACTTAATGGTGAGAAACTAGAAGCTTTCTCATTAACATCAGGAATAAGGCACGGATGTCCCCCCTCTTACCGCTCCTTTTCAACATTGTACTTGAAGTCCTAGCTAATGTGTAGCTCGGTATGTCCATGTGACCAAATTCTGGTTAGTAAGCTATAGCCAGAGGTGATACATGCAATTTCTAGGAGGTTTCTTATGAAGGAAAGGAGCTATGTTCTTCTGTCCCTTCCTCCTTCCTGTTGGCTGGAATACAGATGTCCTGGGCAGGGCCAGAGCAGACATCGTGGGCCATAAAATGGAAACAACATGCTGACTGGGACAAAGCAGTAAGACAGAAGTTGCCTGGGTCCTTGATGAACATGGAGCCACTGGATCAGCTCTGGACTGCTTCTTTTTATATGGAACACGTGTAACTTTTATTCAAGCCAATATTATTTTGGGTTTTCCGACACTTGTAGCTAAATCTACCTTTATATTACTTCATCAAAAATGCCAACCCTCTTTGCACCAGAGACTCCACATACAAGGTGTGCTCCAGGAAGACTTTCCCACCCTTCCTGTTCCTTTCCCCTGCCTTGGTGTGGCAAATTCCTGCTCATTCTTCAGATCTCTCAAGAAAGCTCCTCTTACTTCTCCTTACATTAGACATACACTTTTTAATACTCTCATTTCTTCATTTCTCTTCACTGCACTT